CCTTCTCCGACACCCGGGGCGGCTGAGCGCCTCGGCCGGGCTGCAGGCAGGACGAGGCCTTCGGCGTCGTTCTCCTCCGATTGCCTCTTCCGCAGTTTGTTCCTGTCCCCGCCCCGGCACGTGGAAAGGGGCGGCTGCGGCATCGTGGCGAGTGCCCTCAGCTGCAGGTGTTGCGGGTACTAGCTCTGGATACTAGCTTCCCGAGCAGCAACGTGTGCGTCGCGGCCTGGGAGGGGGGGCGCGAACAGCCTGGCTAACTTCCCAACCCCTGCCGTGGTCAAACACGCACAGAACCAAATCGGAACGAGGTTCGAGGTGGCCGCTACGGGAGTCTTTTGCTGCAGTTTTGACTACTCTTAAGGTTTGGAACCTCTGTGGAGATGCTCAGCACTTGCCTGTACAGGCTACAGAGCACCCTGATCTGACTTCGCTGTTGGTCCTGCTTTGAGCAGGAGGTTGGACAGGTGGTCTCCAGAGGTCTCAGCCTAGATTCTCCCATGAGTGTACTGACAGCCTATAGGCCAGGTCTTTTCCACTTGCTCCCCTTCGCTAGGGGAGATAGGGGATGCCAAATACCAACCCCTTTGCATGCGGTTTGATACTTCCATGAGAGTCACTGTCATTTCTCCCAAACTGTGGAAGCTGGTGTGTGCTGAAATGGGGATCTTGTCCTCATGGACTGCTGGGGCCAGCTTTTGTGGTAAAGGAGGGACTAATGGCTGTAGGGTCAGCTGATCACTAGGGCACAGACTAGCTATTCTTTTAGTGGGACATCTTTTCAGCGTTGTATTTGTTTAGCGAGTCGCACAGCAGGAACTTGGTCTCTAAATGGGGGAGCAGCATACTACTGCAATAGAAATAATGAAATAGCAGGAGGTTAAAGCTTTTATTGCAATCCTAGGGATTAAAGTACGGAAGGACAAGACTCAGCTGACAGTCAGTGTGAAGAGATTTGTGAAGAAGCTTGAGAATATTTCAGATGATGAAGCTCAGGAGATCCTGGAAGAGAAGAACTATGTTGCTGCTCTTGGAATATGTGCCCAAGGTATTAGCAGGGGAAAACCTAACACAGCTGTGACTTCAGGAGATTCTTGCAGTGTTAAGGTTGTACAATGTTGATGAAATTGCTTTTGAGGGCTGACTAGCTCTGGCTGTGCTTGTGGTAACAGGTAGAGGAGAGAATAATGATTCTAGGATTTTATTATGATATTTATGTCGTAACAGCTGCAATATAAAGAGTCCTTTAAGCCAAATAGTAAAATGTTGCATTCCATCTTCCTTGGGTTGGGAATATATCAGTGCTTTTTAATAGCTACAAGTAATGTTTCTTTTCACAGATCCAGTGGGAAATGGCTCAGGTGTGAGTGGTGGTGAAGTTTACTCATTCCAGACTCCCAAACGCTCCAGCAAAATGGCAGAGCTGGGTATGTTTTCCTCTTTCTTCTTTCATTCTTGCTCTGGCTATGGTCTTTTTCTGAGTACCCTGTTAACGTGATTTGTCACTTCTGTTTATTCAAAAGATACGTTTGCAGTATTTCAATAGCTTTTATCTGCCTCTGAATCAGTCTTCCTCAGAAACAAAAGCACAGGGCTAGGACAAAGTAAAGCCACGGTGGGGATAAGAAATACAGATAATAAAAAAACGCATAAGAAAAAGTAGAAGTTTCTTAATGCTGGGAGAAAGTCTGCATGTAAGTGCGAAAGGATGGCAGGGGTTTTATTTGTGTAACTTAGAAAGTTATGAGAATAATTCATCATGTAGCAAAGACTGAAAAAAGGCAGTATTAGCTTTGTGTGTAAGGGGATTTCTCCTACTCATAGTGTCTGAGTGTGCTTGCTAGGCTAACTGTGGACTTAGGAGAAGCAAGCAGAAAGTGGCAGTTCTGGAGAGGGTAGGGGGGTGTTCAAATAAGATGCTTGAGTCCTGCTGCTATGTTTCTTCTCACTTGAAGACTCTTTGTGTGCCCAGCACCATCTGAACTTCATTAGTGTTTAGCTGTCACAGCTACTGATACATCCTACAAAGGATGATCCAAGGGAGAGGGGTCATCCTTCTGTATCGCTATACAGAAACTGGTTTCCGTACCTCTTTGCTTCTGCTGTGTCTTGGGAAGTTGTGTGTTTCTTACACCTCCTTCTGCAGCAGGGTAGGTTTCACTGGTGCTCCCTCCTGGAGCCGTGACTCAGTTTGAAAACTGAGGCAAGTCATACAATGGAAAGTTAGTTTTCTTGAGGGAGTGTTAGCAGGATACGGGGGCCTTCCATATTCAGATCAGTGATTCAACTTCAGTTTGTGCTGATAAGTAGTAGAAAGAGGTAAACAGAATACAAGAACCCACCTCCTGGGGAACTGATGTGTTTGCTATACCTAATGCTCTACTATGTCCAGTTGAGCAGTTTTAAAGGACTAAGTGAGCATGACCAAACATTGCTTTGATTAGAAGACATGTGGTCTCCCAGGGAGCAAAGCATGCTTTGCCATTGCCTCAGCTACACTTGTAAAATGAATTAACTGAGGAGTTCCGTCTTTGAAAATCTTCGTTAAGGATTACATTCACCATTAGGGTTAGAAAAAGAATGGAAGTATCTGGTGCACTTCCTGAAATAGCTAGGAAATTAATACTTAGAGAGTGTTTCAGGTGTATGGCTCCATGGCTGACTAGCCAGAGCTGGGAGTTTTGTACCTGACATGTGAAACTTCTTCCCTTCCCCCTATTTCCTACAGCCGCTGAATTAGCCCAGACACCAGGACAGAGTGTTGCACCTGATCACTCTGAGTGCCCTGAGAAGACAGCCAAAACCCCTCAAAGCAGCAGTAAGTCCTGTGATGCTTTGGGGAACTGAAGCTGAGTGAATGGGGGTTATGTTTCTATTTGGGTGGTGGAGTGGATGCTTGAGTACCAACTTCCGTCATGCTTGAGTATTTTAGTCAGCTTAACATTGTAGACTGAACTGCTTGGTATGCATGGCCTCTGGTTCACCTGGGTGTCAGATCTTTTATTCTGCCCTGCTGCTGTAGAGAAAACAGGAACTTCTCTCTCATCTGTGGCTGTGACACTTAAAGATTTCCTCTGTGTTCAACAGAAATGCTTGCACTTGAGAGAGTTATGAGTTGGGCTGATGTGTTGAGCAACAAACGGGTAGGATTGTGTGGGTGTTCATGTGTAAATTCACACTTTATTATATAATATTCGACCACCCAATGCTGTAGGGAGAAATACAGGTGCGAGAAGTTAGTGCAGGTCAACACTGGCAAGAGCATGTTACTTTGTGCTCAGAAATGGAGTCTGATGTGCTCAGGGAGAGGCCATCAGCTCATTTTTCAGCCTCTTCCCTCCTGCTGATGGTCTCCCAAACCTGTGACCAGAATTAAAAGCTGCCTTCTGTGGTAATAACATTGACTGTCTTTGTTCTCTTCTTGCCTACCTGTGAGGAACTAGAGGCTTCCCTCATAGGATTAACCACCCAGGGAGCTGATATTCTGGTGCGGTGTACCTTTGAATAGCAAATGCCTGTTTTTCTAATGGACCATCTTGTACCACTGTTGAAAATATGCAGTACTCTGAACAATGCTGTTTCTTGCTTTGCAGAACGTTCAGATTCAAACAAAGTGCAGCAGAGGGTGAGTGATGACTACCTTGCTTGGGGGGTTTTTTGGTTTTTTCTTTTTACTTTTAAAACTTGAACTGGCCAATTACTACAGTTCTGGAAAGGAGGGACCTTGAAAAGCCTCATCCACAGTACAGATGTCTCTCCTAATCCAACCGGGCAGGAGTAACTCAAGTGAGAACCAGAGCTACCATTAATCAGGACTATGGGATTTAGAGTCAGTGGGCAATAGTGGGTTTGACAGCTTAATTAGCATGGGTCGAGACTATTTCCTTGCATCACACAAATGAGGATGTTAGACAATCCCTTAATAGGCAGTTTAGCTTTCCAGTCATAGCTTTCCAGTTTCTCATCAAAGGAAGAAACAGCCTTGATTGTAAGGAGTGCTGTTAGAACAGGAATTCAAGAACTGTGGTGGTGTTCAGTTTCTTACTTTAGCATTGGTTTATAAAAAATAAACTGTCACAATGGGGGGGATGTTAAGTTGATGTCGTCTTTTGTGATGCTACAGAGAGGTATAGTCCAGAACTGCCAGTTGTGGTGGTTATAAAGAGAGTGCTGTGAAACAGTTGGCTTTCTAAAATGGTATAGCATCATACTAGAAATGTGTGCACAGCTTTTCCGGTATAAGGTTCCAGGATGAGATATGCCTGTAAGAGATGCTGTTTTGGGATGCCATATTCACTCCTTGATGATTTCACATCCACTTTGACAGGATTAACAAAAGTGTTTCCTAAGTATTGCAGACTTGATCTGGTGTCCGAGTCAGGCGTGTGCTTTACACATATGTAAGGAAGATGTGCCACTACAGCTTGATGAGCCCAGGCAGCTTGGGTTGTCTCTGCTGTACTTCTTCTGGGCTTAGTATTCTGAGTGGTCTTCTGTCATTCTGGTCGTTGTTTTCATAGTGGACTTCCAGATGACTTTGAGTAGACAGTGTGATGTGGAAGGTGACTGCTTCGGGGAGCCGAAGCGTTTCCAGTTTGTCATTGCTTCGGTTTGACTCTTCCTGAGGGGGCCAAGATTGGCATCTTGGTTGGAGAATTCAGAGTTTTCTACCCTCCATCTCAGGACATTAGTTGAAAGAATTAGGCCCTTTTTGGAACCTGATCCTGCCCCCTGTAGCTCTGAATGGCAAAACAAGAACTCTCCATACTTATTGCCTTTGCTTTCCCAGTTTCTTGTGGGCTGAAATAGCTTGGAAACATAACCTGATTCTACTCTTTCCTTGGCAGAGGGCTGTTTTGAGGAGATATATGTTTCTTCTTCTAATGCATGTTTTTTCTTTGCAGTTACAGAGTAAAAAGAAAGAATATGTGGCTACCACACCTTACAGACTCAGAAAGAGGCTAGCAGGTAAAGATCAACCTTTGCAGTCAGCTCCCACAGTCACTGAGGCACTGTGTTCAGAGGCGAGTGTTTCTCCTGGTGGGCTTCTGCCTGTAGTAGCAGTCTGACTGGAGCAATCTGATTCATCCTGCAGAGAGTGTAGAAATGTCCTTAAGGAAGTCTATGTAGACCTTTTACCTACAACAGATTGCTACTTAGTTTTTTGATTGCTACTTAGGTAAGGGGTGGAAGGGTTAGAAACACTAAGTTGCTGAACTTCAGTAACATGATCAAAAGAGACAAAACTCTGAGTAATCTAACCTATGCTGACACTTATGTCTGGCACAATTGCTTGGACCAAGTCATAAAACTTTTTGATGATGGCTGGGAAATTCATGGTAACGTATTTCCAATAACTGGTTGGCTATATGTGCTCAAAATGAAGGCAGAGGAGAGTTTAGTGCGTGGCGTTTCATGTTCTGTTTCTTCTTTTATGTTGAGAGACCAAGACTGAGCCAGATTCCATCTGTTTGCTAACAGAGGTCTTTTACAAAACCTTTTTTGCAGAGTGTGACCCAGAAAATACTCAGCTTGCATGATTGGCATTCGGGAAAACTGGTGTAGAGATGCTAAGAGAAATAGGGAATTCCATTGTCCATTTTTAGTCACTTTTTATGGTAGGATTATGTTTCTTACTTGGTATCAAGGAGCAAGCTTTACTAAACAATAATTTGTGAACCTAGAACTGGGAAAGAAATGGCTATGTGTGTCTGCAGTCCTCTTCAGCATTGATTTTACTTTTCTGTGAAATATATTTAGGAATCATATGCTTGAAAAACATCTAGAAAATGTATGTGAGAGAGTGAGATGGTGCAAAATGTGTTCTGTGTAAGAAGTTGTTGCTAGCTTTTAACCTTAAATTTATGCTTTAGCTCCAGATCCCTATTTAGAAAGTGAGAGTGAATATTCTGCTTCTTGCTCAGAGGAGGAGGATGAGGAAGACCAGAAAGAAGTCAGAACTGTTTTATCAGGTCGAAAGACCCCAGCAAAAACGAAGACTCTGTCTACGCCTCCTCCCAGAAACACCCTAGCCAAAAAAATTAAAGAGGACAAGATGGTGAGTGTGCAGAAAATATACCCCTGAGCTAGCAAGCATGAAGGGATGTTTAGTGACAATAAGCTGTCAGGGACCACACCTAACTATAGGGAAGAACTGCTAGACTCATTCAAATCAAACCAGCTGGGTTGGCTTTTGCTGTACTTCTGAGCAATCCCTGTTGGGCAGGCATCATGTGAGCCTGTGGGCTAATCCAGTCTGTATCCTCAGCAGCTCCAGAAGAGGTTCTAAGATGTCCATGAAGCAGGAGACCTTGTACTGAGAAAGGATGAAGAAATTGACTCCTATAGCACCAGAAGAAGCACACGTTACTTTCTGGCTTGGTGTTCAGCTTCATTTTCTGATTTCCTTCCAGCACCAGGGATCCCCACACGCCCTTAGAATTATTGCTATGTTCTGCTCTCTCAGAATCTCTTTTCTGTCTCTGTCTTCAGGAAAGAACCATCTGACTAGGTTAGCTTTGGCAGTATGCTACTGTAGAAGCCATTTTTGCAAATATCTTCTGGCTTTCTGTTTATCCTTGCTCTATGTCTCATATTGACTGACTTCAGACATGTTTGTGGGTGCAAAGGGAGAGGGGTAACTTGATAGCAGGAGGAGTGTGGCTGATCTTGCTGTCCCTTTTTAGAGCAACCTGGTGGAGGAATACTTTGAAGCTCACAGTAGTTCCAAAGTGCTCACTTCGGACCGAACGCTGCAGAAGTTGCAGAAAAGAAGACTGAATCAGGTACATCTCATAGCGAATTGCACAACTTTCGGAGCTTTTGATTTCTCTGATGAAGATTTCCCTCATCAAAACTTCCTGATATTGCTATTTTCACTTTATTTCTGCTGATTACATTCTCAGTGGTAACACTGATTTAGGTAGCGTTTTAAGCGTTATGTCTCTACTGCTGCTCTGAGCAGGGACAGTGCCCAGTTGTTTGAACCTGAGACAGCAGGGAAAATGCGGGGAGAAGGCACTATGAGGTAAGCAGATAGATCAAAGCTGCAGTTACCAGAACAGGTTAAAGTTTGCTTTTGAGGGAGGAGAAGAGGGAGAAGCAGAGTTGTAGAGACCTGCCTTAAAAATTCTCACCAAAACAGCGTTTTCATCAATGAAATGCTTAGGGGAATTACAAGCTGTCTTGACTATTTATGTGTAGAGGAAATGGAGAGAGTCCAGCATTACTGGGTCAAGCCACATGCAGGACTGGGACAGCTCTAAATGTCACCTAGTTTGTGAAATGTGCTTTGTCCCCTTCCAGTTCCTAGGAGCCAGGAACAGTCTAATTGTGGTGACTGAATTACTGTATTTTTTTTTTCCAATATGCCACTTCTACAAGACCGTTCAAAGCAAGTAATTGCACCCTACAGAGACAGGTACACAAGGACAAGTTCCAGGGAAGCGTGTAAAATACTTGCAGCTCGTGTATGACTGCTTTTTGCACCCATCTGTGTTTTAAAAGATGGCATATATGCAGATTGCCTGATGCCTGCTGTGGTCTGGAATTGCTACCCAAAGAAACATCTGGATTCTTAACAAGTTCTTTCATAACAGCTCTGGAAGGAAATCAAGGCTTTCAGTATTAAATCTACTGCTGGCTCCAAAGAAATTGAAGGCTTAGCAGTTCTGTGTCTTAATGCTTTATGTTTGTCTGGTACATTGGAGCTGTCTTTGTGTTCTTTCCAGAGTAAACTGTCTTCTACTGCAAGGGAGTGGAAAGCAAAGCTGTTAAAATTGAAGAGAAAGGGAGGCCAGTGTAGATTTGATGCCATTTGTCATGCTGCTGTGCTGTTTAAACATCAACATCTCAGCATATCTTTAACGCTGAATTAATCCTTTGATTCTTGATGCTTTCAAAATACTACTTTTTCTACATTTAGCTGTCAGCTGCAAATTATATCCTTTCTGCTGTTATTTCTTTTTTAAGATGACGTTTGTGAGCATTCTCTTGTAGTGACAAAACACCTGAACTATCACTAAGCATGTCGATTGGAGCCCTTGCTTCTGTGAGCAGGGTTGTGATGTTGGTATCTTCCTGGTACAGTGCTTGGTGCTGTGTAAGCTCTGAGTGTGTCCATTATTTCAGTAGCGGTTTTCCCATACTCAGTGAAGAGATAAAACACAGTGCAATATCGGTTCTAGTCCTAGTCTGGCTGCCATTTCCCATAATAAGATTACTTAATCTCTGCTTTGTTTCTCCAGTAGCAAAACTGTGCTTAGAGGGGTCTTCATGGAAAAAAACACAAATTGAGCGTGCCGTCAGTGAAAACTACTCTGCTCCCTAGCTAGAGAGCATGCTAGAGGGGTATTTGTAAGGACCCCAGATATATGTCTTGTTTTTTCTCAGCTTTGAATGACTGTCACGTTCTCTCTTTCTCAACACAGCAAACACTGCATGACATTTTGAAAAAAGCTCCCCTTGCCTATGCTGCTGAAATTAAAGAGCTAAACCAGCAACACGAATTCCTGTTTTCCAAGTGGAAGCTCCAATTACAGTAAGTATCCAATGAGAATCACTGAAGTAGCCTAGTAAACAGGCGCTGCCAGTAAACTTACCCTCATGTCAACAACATCCTGTGGATGAGTTAAGGAGCGACTTTTTTTCTTTGATTGACTGCTTAATTTTAAAGTTAGGTGACATTAATTTAGTACAATGTTTCCTGTAGGCCAAATCATATCTGACTAACTCCTTGAACTGAATGCCTGAAGCGAAATGAGGCTGCATTCTGCTTAGCTAGTTTGTCTCTGCCTCTGTAAACCAAGCTAGAGGGCATTCACAAACAGGGAACGTCAATAATGAGAAAACAGGGAACATGAATGATGAGAACAGTGTCCTTTGTGAACAATCAGTTTTGCTTACAGCAGAGTTGGTATTGAGTAGCTCACCACTGATTTCTTCAGTATGTGGCTATTCCCAGTGGTGTAGCAGTTAACTTTGAATGCCTATGGTGCCTAGTGATCTAGGCACAAAGAAACCTTAATGCTGTTGGAAACATTAGCAGTATAAATTTTATCTGGGTTTGTGTGTATCTTCATGGGAAGGAGAAAAGAGTAAGCATCCAGGAAAGCAAGTGTGGAACTATAGAGAGCTGTGGGATTCTGAAGCGCCTTAGAGAAGGCAGGCCACCAGCTCTGAAGTTAAGTGCTGAGGTGGGAGCAGATGTTGGTGAGGAGAAAGCCCCTTAGAAGCTTTGCAAGGGAGTGGAGTATAAAGAAATTTGTGGTCCATGGGAAGTGACAGAGCATATGAAAAAGACATTAGCTTTGAAAGTTGGAGAGTTGCAAGAGGAGTCTCTGCGACTCGGTGATCTGGGCAAATGGTTAGAGATGTATGTGGCAGGGTAGAAGGAACAAATCCGTAGATGATACTGAAGTCAATGACAGTTGTTGAACACCTTACCTTTGCCCTATGCTATTTGAGTGACCTGATACTCTTCTTTCTGGTCAAGATGATGCTTTTCCTGCTTCTCAAAAATAAACAAAGCTTTGTGATTCCCTACCATGTTGTCTTTATGCTTTCCTGCCTCTTTCTCTGTGGAACAATTCGGATAAGAAAGAGATATGAGAATAGTTTAATTTTGCTTTGAAATTGTGCCTGCGGATCAGAGTAGAAAACCACTATGGAGGCTTGCTTTATTTCTTGTAATTGCTGTGACCCATGGTAAACGTTTAATATAATTGTTGGTGAGGGGGTGAATGTTACTGGTTACTCTTTGTAATCTGAAGTTGCAGATCTAGTCTCATATTCTTGGACAATACCATTTTCTTCCATAGATGTTTTGCTAAATTTATGGGCCTCCAGGCTGCTAAAACACTTCTTTTACTAGGATGCACGTGCCACATTTCAGATTCCTTGCAGCTAACTGTATTTGTCAGCTGTGAGCTGAAGGTAAACCTGGAGTTGATGAAATATGAAATTTTTTGAGGCAAGATTGCAATGGATCATTTTGCTTAATGAATGTATGAACCTAAAAAGGGGCTTGTACTTTTTTGCTTCAGTGTATTTGCTCATTTTTCTGCAGCTTGGGTTTCAATATTGTGCTTTATGGACTGGGCTCAAAGCGTGATTTGTTAGAGAAGTTTCGCACCTCTGTGCTCCAGGATTCTGTTCACCTTGTGGTTAATGGATACTTCCCCAGCATCACTGTGAGATCCGTAAGTGTGGGAAAAGCTTATGGGTTTATCTAATCATCTTGTGTTACAGATACTTCTAAAGTCTTTCAGTGTAAAATGTTAAGGAAACCTGCTGCATCCTATAGCAGCAGACTCTTGAATGAAGAGCCGTTCCTCTCTCTCTTTTAAGACTTTAAAGAAATTAGCCCATGCATCTTCCAATGAATTGCAGTAATTGCCATCATTAACAGATACTCATCAGTCTAAAGCCTTATTTTATGTCACTGTTTTGAAAAGGGGTAGAAATTTTTGGTTTATGTTGACAGTTTTGGGGATTTGATGGTAAAAATCAGATTACCTCCCTCATGACAGTCAAGGGCTCACTTTCAGATTTTCTGCACTAGGTCCTTCAGTGCCAGAGCCCTTCAGAAGGGACTGCGATTTTCTTTTTCAGATTCTCAACTCCATCACAGAGGAGGTACTGAACCATATAGGGACCTTCCGCAGCCCCCTTGACCAACTTGAATTCATCATTAAAAGGTTTAAAGAAGGTAAAATGACTAACTTTATACTTAAAAACGTTAGAGTCCACTTACTGTTAGGAGACCCTGGACATTTTCTTTCCTCATAGTTTTCATATGTGTAGTTACAGTTTCTTAGTTTATTGTAGCTAGTATACTTTCTTGCTTGTAATTTATGCCACATATATGAAAACATATATGCACCAGAAATATATACGTACATGATCCCAAGCTGTTACCTCAGTCAGTGTTTCACACACTAAGTTCCCTAGAAAGGGAAGGAGGAAGGCACGAGTGCTCTAACAAGACAGAGGCTCCTCAACCCTTTGGCAAACTGAAATGCTCATCTCTCTCTTGCATTTAGCACAGTGCCTTTGTGCTTTATTTACACGGTGTTTCTGTAGCCACATGTTTCCTGGTGGAAGACAGGATAGGTAAACTCCAGCTACATGAGGGAAGATGGTTCTTAGTGGCTGCTTGAGGACATGATATAAACCTCACTGAAATCAACAGAACGAAGAACTTACAAACAATTTGGAATGACAGTTGCTGACAGATATCAAGTCCTTTGAGCTCCTCTGGAAAATCATGGCCTGAGGGTCTTTCCATAAATTTCAGTATAGGCTGGATTAAGGCTTAAATGTACACAGTTTAGTGGAATGGTCATTTAAATTTAATATATGCAAATACTGACATTAAGGTGAAATAAAGGACAGCAGTGTCAAACAAGCAGGTTAGAATTGGGTTCAAAAGCAAAATTAAACAGGTATTGCCACACGGAATGCTTGCTGAATTCTTTTTGAATGTCCGTTTTACTGCTTGTGTATACATACACAAATTGCCATGGAATCTTAATTGTGCATGGTGTTGGTGTTTAAGTGTTTACATTCTGTTTTCCATCATTACCTTATGAGTATTGCTGGTGAGACTAAGTGAAAAAGACTGATTAACGACGGTACCCACCTGAATCTACATAAATCAGTCTTGTGTAGTACACTATAGCTGATCTGACTGGGAGTCTGAGGAACCTTTGGTCTCCATTGGCAGCCAAGTATGTATTCATTTGCACAAAAATTAGCTACTGTTCCAGAATTGTTTCTGGACTCAGGAAATAGTTGTTCCCAGGGATAAGTACAGCAGCAACAAGCTAGCTGGAAATTTTAACATCTGCCATTTGCATTACCCAAGCTAACGCTTTGTAACTTCCTTTGAGGACTCGGTGGGAAAGATTTCCAATGAAGTTAGTATGCTTTGGATCGAACCCTGAACAGAAAATGCATTTCCATTGTGTGAGGAGGAGCTTAAGGATCCTAGTCATGTAACTCAAAAGCAGCTGAACAAACTGCGTAGACTTCTATCCTAAAATACATTTGAACAACCTTGAATCACATGACTAAAAGTCATAGCTAAAAGGGTAATTCCTGGTAAAGCCATGAGCAAGTGGAAAGTGGATTATAAGAGAAAAGTTTAAACTGCAAAAAGAACTGTAGTTGTGATGAGAACCGCAATACAGTGAATTGAGAAAAAGCCTTTTAGGTGCTCAGAAACACCAAGTGTGGGATAGAGATCAAAGCAAGCTGTACAAGGAAAGTTACTTGATACTGGAGTGATGAATATGGAGCCTGATGGAATAGACTTGTCCTAGGCTGCACTGGGAATGGGAAACCACTTTGTGTGCAGTTTCTTTGATTGGTTCTCTGCTGTTTTTTTCTGACCTTGCAGATTCATCTTTAGAGCTCTATGTCCTCATTCATAACCTGGACAGCCAGATGTTGAGAGGAGAAAGAAGTCAGCAGATCCTTGCACAGTTATCCTCTCTGCCTAGCATTTACCTCATTGCCTCTATCGATCACATCAATGCTCCTCTCAGTGAGTCCCCTTGGGCCTGATGTAGCAGAGAGAAGAATCTGTGTTCTACTTTGGGGCTACTGAGCATGTTTCATAAGCTCATGTATTACTGTTGGTGTGCAAAATAGATCTGGTGATGTACGTATGGTGGTAGCAGCTAGAAGCCCCGATTGGGACTGTGGCTGTGTTGAACCAAAACCGTACAAAGATACTGATAACTACCAGTCACTGATCATAGTATACAAATAGACTCCAAGCTTCTGGCAGCCTTTGATTTAGGGACTTACTGAAATGGAGATTGGGTGTTATATCTGTCATTGCATCTAAACAATTTTGTTTATCAGCCAGAAATTCTTTGCACACTGCTGACTCTGGAAGGATTTACAGTATATTTGTGAAGCTGGTATGAAAAAGGGATGTGTGCAAATGTTTTGTTGCAGAGAATTTGTCTTGCTTGAGCTGCAAGTATCTGGGTGTATGTGCTGTGAATTTCACAAGCATACATTGTTTCCTCAAATCCTACAGTAGAACTAAGTACATTTTAATGTTGCTTATTTAATTCCGTAGAAAAGCTAAATCTCCCAATTCTGTCTGCTCTTTCTTTTCTCTCTGTCTAGTGTGGGATCAGGCAAAGCTAAGCCTCTACAACTGGCTTTGGTATGAAACAACCACATTTAGTCCTTATGTGGAAGAAACGTCTTACGAGAACTCGCTTTTAGTACAACAGTCTGGATCTTTGGCTTTGAGCTCCCTAACACATGTCCTGCGCAGTCTCACTCTCAATGCCAGGTAAGACACTGTTATACTTCCTAGTAGCACTTGCTGAGGATCCAGTCCTTACTAGATTACTCTGGTCTACACCTAGCAGGAGGCAATCCCTGTTTTCTGACAACAATGTTCAAGATGAAGATGGTAGGACCTGGGTTCCAGCTGATTGGTTACTTTAAATGAACAGCGTTTGGATAGCAAGCCTTGTCCAGTGATGAGATTCATGCACAAATGGTCATGAGGGAAAAATCAGTTAATATTTTCTAATGGTGGGGTTTTTTGGGTTTGGGGGTGTTTTGTTTTTTTTTTCCTTCTGATTTTCCCCTCTCCTCCTTTCACTTAGGGGAATATTCAGACTGCTTGCTCAGTACCAGCTGGAGAACAAGGACAACCCATCTTATCCAGGTATGTACCCACCTTTTCTCATCTGTTTGGGGTGTTGCCATTGCCAGGTCAGTCACAGCGGCACTGGATTTTGGTATGCAGGTTCCATCACCAGCAACAGAAGTGCTGTAAGTGTTGGCTCAGTGAGACTCAGTGGCGTAGACTGTCTTTTTAGTGGTACTGTGTCTGACTGATAGGAAATCAATAGACTGGCTGGTTCTGAAGGACCTCCTCTTACTGTTGTCTGCTTTGATGTTTAGACATGACTGAGACTATTCATGGGGGACTGTGGAGTTAAAAATTTAAAATAAAGGAAGAATATGAATTTGCATAACTAGCACTTAAAGGACCAGGGAAAGACAGGAGAGTCTGTTCCCATGCGGCTCCTATCTAAGTGACTTCTGATGTGTCCCTGCTTTCTAGGATACATGTGGAATATTCTGTCACTGTCTCTAACAGGTGCTGCAAGGGATATGAAGAACATGTTAATGGTAAAGAAAGTTGGAAGTAAGATAGAGGAGCTGGAAATTAAGAGAGATCAACCATGTTGGGAAGTGCATTTAAAGTGCTATTAAAATTTCATTAGGCAAACAGGGTGACTGGAACGTTAATTCAGCTGTTTTCCATTAATTACTGAAATATTAGCTTGGCTGTATACTTGAAAGAAGCAATGATGTTACTGTAGCCACTGTGGTCTAAGCCAAAGCAAGATTTGTAGGTGGAGATAATATGCGGTGTGAGACCTGGAAAAATCTGTCAATCTTACCACTTCAATTCCTTGTTCTCGCCTTTTTTTATCTCCAGGGCTGTCTTTCCAAGACTTCTACCAGCAGTGTCGAGAGGCTTTCCTTGTGAACAGTGACCTGACACTCAGGGCACAGCTGACAGAATTCAGGGACCACAAGCTCATCCGGACCAAGCGGGTGAGTTGGGGGAAGAAGATAATTCTGGGTATTCAGCCACCTTAAACAAAAAAGATGCTTACTTGCTACTAAGTATCCCTAAGACACCACTCTGCAGCTCACAGTGAGGCTGTATTGTTTGAAGCACCTAGGAACTAGCAGAGGGCTGAAATTCTGTAATTGCAGCTCTTTTCACGCTTCCAATTTGAGGGATAGGGGGCTGTAAAAATGCAGTGTGCTTTGGTTACTCGGCAACCTACAGGTCTCTTCTTCCTGAAGGCCTTGAGAAGTAATGGACTCTGGAGCCTGCCAGTCTGCTTCCAATAGTTACCTGTATTTGCACGAGGGAAGAATGCGGGCTAGTCCTAATAACGAGGCAGTATAGCAGTACTAGATATGGGAACACAGTGTTGAGGAGCTGTGTAGTGTCAGACTAGCATAGCTCACCAGAAGATTTCTCATATACTGACTTTTCTCAGTATTTGTGCATTTCCAGTGTTGCTCTAGTGAAATATTCCTGGGTTTTAGCAATGTAGTCCTTCTGAATGCTGGCCAGCTCTCACTCAGACTGCAAATAAAAGTAAGTGTTGCAGTGCTGTCTAGTGGCTTGCGTTGCACTGTGCACTGGTGTTAACAGAATGTGTATGCATGTCTGTTCTCAGGGAGCTGACGGTGTGGAATACTTACTAATTCCTGTAGATGACAGTACCTTGACTGACTTCTTAGAGAAAGAGGATGAAGATACGTAACGTCTCTCTGTTCTCAAAGCGTCTACGGCAATTGCTCTCAAGGGCTGCTGGAGAGGGGCCTATACTCAGATCTCTCTTCCTCCAACCCCGAGGCTGCTGGACTACTTACTGAACTGTAATAATTGTAATGAACCATGTTCGTTGTTCAACTACTTCAGGTAGTTTGGAATGATGACTTCCATAAGCAAGGCATCTCTTGCTCTGTAGTTAGATTTGTCCGCTTTGTCTCTTAGCGCAGATGATGCCTTCTTCATATCTATGCAGCCAACCAACCTTACAGCCAGAAAAACAAACTCGGTAAGATTGTGCCTTCTGCTCTCTACCTCACCAGACATGAGGGTTTGATTGGAGCAGTTTACTTGGGAAGTGCAAAGCTTTAGTTTGTACTAGTGCTGCAACTTTTCTCAACTGAGTGCTTTCCAGTACTCCTTTACCAGTTAGACAAGACTAGCTTCCAGTGTACGAAGAAGCCAAGATTTATAATGCTAAGAGACCCGCCTTGACTGCATGAGGAAAGGAGAATGCGAGTGGGTTTGGCACACTGTGGGTAACTTATTAAATTCGGGCAATAGAATGGAAGGACTTGCCCCAAACCCAAATCCTTTTATAAGAAGATTTAGATAATCAAAATTGTGATGGACTCAAGTCATTGCCTGTTGGTGAGGGTGAGAGGATCCAGCTTCTTTCATCTACTTTCCAAGTTGCAATCCAGGAATATGAAGAGGCTGAGAAGTTTTTCTTGTTTATTTTTTAAAAGCTTGATTGTATATATGTATTTTTTACATCAGGAGTGTCCACTGATCCTGGAGGAGGCCTTAAATGCCACTTATAAGCTCTCCCTTTTTTTTAAGCCCTTAGAGGTCGGGAGACTGCTGAAGTTTGACAGGTTTTCTTCACTTTTTTTCTCAGGTATGTGGGAGTAAGCCCTATAGTTCCATCAACTGTAGTCTGCCAGCCAGACTTCAGGGACTCTGTATGTCTAATATTTGGTAGCTGTGTTACAGCTCAATGTTGTAATAATTCAAATCAATCAAATAAAGTACTTTATTAATTTTCATCAGCTTGTCTTGTCTTCCACGATCTTTTTGTTATAGGAAGATAGAGATCCTTCTGGCAGTTGTGTGAAAGCCTCATTTTCATTATCATGTCAAATATCTATGCAAATCCTCATGCAGTGTGCAGAAGATTTCAAACTAATTAGTAAAAATATTTTATAGTTTGTTATATGGTTATCAAAATTAAAAATAGTTTGCCTGTCTTTTAATACCAGTATATAGCTTTTGAAGAGAACCAAATCATCACATGGAATAATATTGTTACCTGGTCTATCCCTCACTGACAGAAGCAACAGACAGAGGTTTACAGCCTGACTTTTGTTTGTATTGAAAACACTGGGTGTCTACTTATCTCACAGACAATTTGATTCTTCAAATATAGGACCTAATTAGCTTTGCTGGAGAGTCTGATGGGGAAAACTGGTACATGGCAGCAGTAGTCTCCAGCTTCCTCCCCCAGAACATTTTCCAACTAACATTCTCTTTTGGTGGCACTTGCATCTGCATTTTACAGACTGCAATTCCAAAACTTTGCAAAATGCACCATTGTGCCGGCTTTGGCTGGGATAGAGTTGATTTTCTTCATAGTAGCTGGTATGGGGCTGTGTTTTGGATTTGTGCTGGAAACAGTGTTGATAACACAGGGGTGTTTTCGTTACTGCTGAGCAGTGCTTACACAGTCAAGGCCTTCTCTGCTTCTCACCCCACCCCACCAGCGAGCAGGCTGGGGGTGCACAAGAAGCTGGGAGGGGACACAGCCGGGACAGCTGACCCCAACTGGCCAAAGGGACATTCCACACCATATGACGTCATGCTCAGCATGTAAAGCTGGGGGAAGAAGAAGGGTGGGGGGGACATTCAGAGTGATGGCGTTTGTCTTCCCAAGGAACTGTTACGCGTGATGGAGCCCTGCTTTCCTGGAGATGGCTGAACACCTGCCTGCCGATGGGAAATAGTGAATGAATTCCTTGTTTTGCTTTGCTTGCGTGTGTGGCTTTTGCTTTACCTGTTAAACTGTCTTTATCTCAACCCACGGGTTTTCTCACTTTTACCCTTCCCATTCTCTCCCCCATCCCATGAGGGGCAAATGAACGAGCGGCTGTGTGGTGTTGCTGGCTGGGGTTAAACCATGACAATCACCACTTAGGCTACCATCAGAATCACTAAAACCGGGATCAAGGCGTTGTGTCTTACTGAAGTTCTGTAAGTTAGGTGTAGAGTTCAAGAACAAGAACTCTGCCACTTGAAGAGATGTGTTCTTGGAAAAACTTAAAAAGTATTGCAGCTAAGCAGCCACCACATCCTATTCTGCAGTCCTTTGTCTCTCTCCACAGTTCCTATGAAACTCAAGATATAATTTCTATCAGAGTACATATGGAAGACACCACCTAATGTGTTTACGGATAGTGATACCATGGTGCATTTTCAGTGCAATTATATCTGGTTTTCTAAATGTAAAATTTACTTCAATGAAGTGCTATAATCATCCTGAGTTCAGAGTTATCCGCTAACAGTTTTGGTAGACTACCAGATGCCCATACAGGCCAAGAGGAGGGCTGCAGGAGATACCACACATCTGCTAAGAGAAGGTTAAGTTTGAATCAGTTTTTGGCTGCTGCTGATTCTGTGATGCAAGCACGCAAGCTAAAGAAAATTACTGTGAATTATTTCCTGTGGGTTTTGTGTTAAAAGTATTTTATCCTGATTTCATGCTGTTTCTGGACAACCACCCCATCTATGCATTAATTTTCTGTCTCTTGAATTCTGTGTATGTACTAAGGCAGTAGCATTTTAATGTATTCTATAGCAATACAGAACTGTTGGATTTGGAGGGATCACTTCTACAGTCCTTTCCTTTACTTGGGAAAGAAGACATTTCTTCCCACTTCCTGTTCCTCAGCTCACTGAGAGGTCTTCATGGTATTGATAAGAATGATGGCCTTTATCTAGCCTCAGCAGCTTCAGATTATACTGGAGTCATCTCTTTGCACTTACGTTTAAGTGGAACGAGACATGCAATTATGCAGTAAAGACATTGCTTGATGAGCCAGTTTTATTAACTTAAACTTAAGAAGATGGTGCCAAGATCTTTACAAATTTGCAATGGAAATATTTTCATTTTGTTTAAATATTCTTCTGGTGTACACATAATCCAGAGATGGTAAGGTATGCAACTGGGAGATTTTTTTTTTCTTAAAAAAAAAAATCACAACAAAAAAACTAACTTAAAAAATAAAACCCAAGCATTATCAGTGGTGAAAATGCTACTTGTTCAGTTTTAATAATCCTGTAGTTAAGAGCCATAGTTATAGAAACTCTTTTTTAAAAGAAAGTAACAAAGGCACACTAAATGCATTTACAGCTTTGTTAAGGAATTGAGTTTTAACCTTCCAAAGCTTTTTTAACTGACTCCTTCTATTAAAAAGCCTTAAAGCTGCATTAATGGTAGATTGTGCAATTGAATACTAGTACCAAATACCTGAATTGTGTTCTATATTTGCATATGAGTCGTGTCTTAATAAAACTGTTAATGCAAATGCGTGATCTACACCCTTTCATTAACTATTATCAGGAGATTTATTAGCTAAAATATCAGTGACTTGTACTGCAGTAGGGTGGAACTGCCGTGTAAGCTTAAAACTGGAGATAAGTCAGGTTTTTATATTTTACCCAAACCAATCCTTGAGTACCATAGTTATCAAATATATCTAATAAGAGTGTGCAGTAACAGTAACCTTATTCAAGTGCAGTCCAGTAATTGAGTAAATCAGCCTTCTGTAGCCCAAAACAAGCATTTATTTATCTGACAGATAACAAAACATATCCCAAACTTTGAGGGAACATGTAATATAGTCATTCTGTACTGAACCAATTCAGACCATCTTAATTAAGCTTGCAGTTGGATAGGTCTGTGCAAGATACCATGAAACTCTTGACTGAATTCTCTCACTCCTTTTTTTTTTTTCCCTCCTATGCCACCTGGAGGGGATCTCTATCTTTCTCAGACACAATTATGTTGATCTTGTTCTGTAGGTGGATAGCTAGCATGTCACACAGCTCTGACAAGAAGCCTCGCTCAGTGTTACTGTGCTCACACAGAATAACACTTATCCCATTGGCAACTGCATCCAGAACGTCATGGTGGGACATCTCTCCTGCCATTTTGAGAAAGAAATGCCATGTAGATCACTAACAGTACAGTTTAGGTAACCAGTTCTTTGCAATGTATGCAGAATCTCAGCTAGAAGCTGGGAAGACGTAACAGGGGATATAGCCCATAAGGGGGAATGCAGCACCATCTGCTCAGTATAAGAACAGGGAACACTCCTACTCTAATATCCCTTGAAGGACTTTCAGCTGATACCCCCCGTATACAACTGAGACAAACCCACAGAAATTCCTTGCCCTCTGAATAGTGGTAGATTCTGCCACTTTGGGCAGGAAATAAGAGTGCGCAGAGCGGTTTGGAAGTGGACTGTCTGGATGTCATGTGGATTGCTGTGATGGAGGATAGCAGTTGGGAAGCCTTGTGAAGAAGCTGTCTGACGGTCAGCTCTGCAGGGCTGTACGTAAGGGGGAGATGGGACACGCCTTGCCAAAGAACTTGCTTGAATTAAGTACTACAGAATGCAAGGCAGCCTTCATATCGTTGAGCAAGCTGTAAGGAGTAGCTGTCCCACTGTTGGAAAAGAGGATAATGGACTAAGTGTCCCTTTGGTCAGATACGCTATGGGGTTCCTTTGGAAGATTCTGTAGACTGCATTATATTCCATTTTCCATTAGGGAGTTCTGTAGGGAACTGAGGAAATACCTTGTATCTTGCCAAAGGAGAAACACACTGAAGGTTGCAACAGATTGCCATCAACACTGATTTTGTGTTGAAATAATGCATGTATAGCAATGTTTTAGTTCAAATAACCTTCACTGTGCCACACAGCCATCTGATCCATGATCTCTCTACTTTAACGTTATTCTTCTATCATTCCAATAACTAACTGATTGTTTCTCAATTATAACAGGTAATTCTTTCCGGCCAAATCTTTCAACAGCCAGTCAACTCTGCTCTTTTCTTTTTTTTTTCCTAGTGACTATTTTTATAAAGATAACAAAACAGCAACATAATCTTACCTGTGAGATAGAGGTCAGCTTCCATTCCTTTCAGGACGCTGCTTCCAGAACCAGCACACAGAGCAGCTTTCTTCACTGGTGATTCTGCAGGATACAAGGTGCCACAGTTAAACTCCTTTCCCTGTGTTCAGCCCTCATGTCAGTATTGC